CTAACCCTAACCCTAACCCTAACCCTAACCCTAACCCTAACCCTAACCCTAACCCTAACCCTAACCCTAACCCTAACCCTAACCCTAACCCTAACCCTAACCCTAACCCTAACCCTAACCCTAACCCTAACCCTAACCCTAACCCTAACCCTAACCCTAACCCTAACCCTAACCCTAACCCTAACCCCTAACCCTAACCCTAACCCTAACCCTACCCCTAACCCTAACCCTAACCCTAACCCTAACCCTAACCCTAACCCTAACCCCTAGAAATTCCTACAACTTCCTACAACTTCCAACAACTTCCTACAAATTCCAACAAATTCCTACAAATTCTATCAAATTCCTACAACTTCCAACAACTTCCAACAAATTCATACAACTTCCAACAACTTCCTACAACTTCCTACAACTTCCAACAACTTCCTACAACTTTCAACAACTTCCTACAACTTCCTTCAACTTCCAACAAATTCCTACAAATTCCTACAAATTCTATCAAATTCCTACAACTTCCAACAACTTCCAACAAATTCCTACAAAGTCCTACAAATTCTATCAAATTCCTACAACTTCCAATAACTTCCAACAAATTCCTACAAATTCCTACATATTCTTACAAATTCCTACAAATTCTATCATATTCCTACAAATTCCTACAACTTCCAACAAATTCCTACAACTTCCAACACTTTCCTACAACTTCCTACAACTTCCAACAACTTCCTACAACTTCCAACAACTTCCTACAACTTCCTTCAACTTCCAACAAATTCCTACAAATTCCTACAAATTCTATCAAATTCCTTCAACTTCCAACAACTTCCAACAAATTCCTACAAATTCCTACAAATTCTATCAAATTCCTACAACTTCCAACAACTTCCAACAAATTCCTACACTTTCCAACAACTTCCAACAAATTCCTTCAAATTCCTACAACTTCCAACAAATTCCTACAACTTCCAACAACTTCCTACAACTTCCTACAACTTCCAACAACTTCCTACAACTTCCTTCAACTTCCAACAACTTCCAACAAATTCCTACAACTTTCAACCCCTTCCTACAACTTCCAACAACTTCCAACAAATTCCTACAACTTCCAACAACTTCCAAAAAAATCCTACAAATTCCTACAAATTCCATCAAATTCCTACAACTTCCAACAAATTCCATCAAATTCCTACAACTTCCAACCTTTTCCAACAAATTCCTACAACTTCTAACAACTTCCAACAAATTCCTACAAATTCCTACATATTCCATCAAATTCCTACAACTTCCCTCAACTTCCCTCAACTTCCCTCAACTTCCCTCAACTTCCCTCAACTTCCCTCATCTTCCCTCAATTTCCCTCAACTTCCCTCAACTTCCTACAACTTCCTACAACTTCCAACAACTTCCTACAACTTCCTACAACTTCCAACAACTTCCAACAAATTCCTACAAATTCCTACAAATTCTATCAAATTCCTACAACTTGCAACAACTTCCAACAAATTCCTACAAATTCTATCAAATTCCTACAACTTCCAACAACTTCCAACAAATTCCATCAAATTCCTACAACTTCCCTCAACTTCCCTCAACTTCCCTCATCTTCCCTCAACTTCCCTCAACTTCCCTCAACTTCCTACAACTTCCTACAACTTCCAACAACTTCCAACAAATTCCTACAACTTCCAACAACTTCCAACAAATTCCTACAAATTCCAACAAATTCCAACAAATTCCATCAAATTCCTACAACTTCCAACAAATTCCTACAACTTCCTACAACTTCCAACAACTTCCTACAACTTCCTACAACTTCCAACAACTTCTAACAACTTCCTACAAATTCCTACAAATTCTATCAAATTCCTACAACTTCCAACAAATTCCAACAGCTTCCATCAAATTCCTACAACTTCCAACAAATTCCTACAATTTCCAACAACTTCCTACAACTTCCTACAATTTCCAACAACTTCCTACAACTTCCAACAACTTCCTACAACTTCCTTCAACTTCCAACAAATTCCTACAAATTCCTACAAATTCTATCAAATTCCTACAACTTCCAACAACTTCCAACAAATTCCTACAACTTCCAACACTTTCCTACAACTTCCTACAACTTCCAACAACTTCCTACAACTTCCAACAACTTCCTACAACTTCCTTCAACTTCCAACAAATTCCTACAAATTCCTACAAATTCTATCAAATTCCTTCAACTTCCAACAACTTCCAACAAATTCCTACAAATTCCTACAAATTCTATCAAATTCCTACAACTTCCAACAACTTCTATCAAATTCCTACAACTTCCAACAACTTCCAACAAATTCCTACACTTTCCAACAACTTCCAACAAATTCCTACAAATTCCAACAAATTTCAACAAATTCCTTCAAATTCCTACAACTTCCAACAAATTCCTACAACTTCCAACAACTTCCTACAACTTCCTACAACTTCCTTCAACTTCCAACAACTTCCAACAAATTCCTACAACTTTCAACCCCTTCCTACAACTTCCAACAACTTCCAACAAATTCCTACAACTTCCAACAACTTCCAAAAAAATCCTACAAATTCCTACAAATTCCATCAAATTCCTACAACTTCCAACAAATTCCATCAAATTCCTACAACTTCCAACCTTTTCCAACAAATTCCTACAACTTCTAACAACTTCCAACAAATTCCTACAAATTCCTACAAATTCCATCAAATTCCTACAACTTCCCTCAACTTCCCTCAACTTCCCTCAACTTCCCTCAACTTCCCTCATCTTCCCTCAACTTCCCTCAACTTCCCTCAACTTCCTACAACTTCCTACAACTTCCAACAACTTCCTACAACTTCCTACAACTTCCAACAACTTCCAACAAATTCCTACAAATTCCTACAAATTCTATCAAATTCCTACAACTTGCAACAACTTCCAACAAATTCCTACAAATTCTATCAAATTCCTACAACTTCCAACAACTTCCAACAAATTCCATCAAATTCCTACAACTTCCCTCAACTTCCCTCAACTTCCCTCATCTTCCCTCAACTTCCCTCAACTTCCCTCAACTTCCTACAACTTCCTACAACTTCCAACAACTTCCAACAAATTCCTACAACTTCCAACAACTTCCAACAAATTCCTACAAATTCCAACAAATTCCAACAAATTCCATCAAATTCCTACAACTTCCAACAACTTCCTACACTTTCCAACAACTTGCAACAAATTCCTACAAATTCCAACAAATTCCATCAAATTCCTACAACTTCGAACAAATTCCTACAACTTCCAACAACTTCCTACAACTTCCAACAACTTCCTACAACTTCCAACAACTTCCTACAACTTCCTTCAACTTCCAACAACTTCCAACAACTTCCTACAACTTCCTACAACTTCCTACAACTTCCCTCAACAACTTCCCTCAACAACTTCCCTCAACAACTTCCCTCAACAACTTCCCTCAACAACTTCCCTCAACAACTTCCCTCAACAACTTCCCTCAACAACTTCCCTCAACAACTTCCCTCAACAACTTCCCTCAACAACTTCCCTCAACAACTTCCCTCAACAACTTCCCTCAACAACTTCCCTCAACAACCTCCCTCAACAACCTCCCTCAACAACCTCCCTCAACAACCTCCCTCAACAACCTCCCTCAACAACCTCCCTCAACAACCTCCCTCAACAACCTCCCTCAACAACCTCCCTCAACAACCTCCCTCAACAACCTCCCTCAACAACCTCCCTCAACAACCTCCCTCAACAACCTCCCTCAACAACCTCCCTCAACAACCTCCCTCAACAACTTCCCTCAACTTCCCCCTTCTCGTTCGCCCCACCCACCCACCCCATGTCAAGTTCATATATATATGCCCCTTTTTTTCCTGTTCTCAAATCACTGTTTGCCCATTTTTTTTCAATAGACACTGCCTTTTATTCTACAACTGCGCATGCTCGGTGACATTGTTAATATTCATTACCTATTTCAATTTCAACTCCCACTTTGATCAACAAGTCCCTATCCTTTCTTACCCTTCTTAGGCTATAACTCGACAATATCCGTCTTGTTAATACTGCGCTATATTCTACCATTTATTGAACAACAGTTTCAAAAGTACACTAGCTTGTCATCTTTCGTCACAATAGCATCAATTGTTGCATTTAAAACAGACTGAGTATTCTTCATCTACTGACAAACATTTTCCTCATAACTCCTTCACAAAACCACCAAACGTGTACTTTCCATTTCCAAGCACAATAATGAGCATTTGCGTAAACATTACACAAACAGAGTATCATCCAGCCATTATCTTTGTTTGGCCAAAATAGTGTACCAAATGCAATTGATGACAAAATATGGTACCGAGAAAAAACGTGCACTTTTGTATACATGTGAGTTTAGTGTCAACCACAACTTGCACGTATACAAAAGTGCAACTGTTTTTGGTATCATTTGTCAGAAATTGCATGAATTCGTACACATCATCACTCTTTTGGGCATAAGAAAGTATGGCTGGAATGATCAGGAATGTCTGTACTGATTAGTCGTTAGTTGAGCGAGAGGTGCTCAGTAGTTTTTGAGTTAAAAAAGGATTGAAAGGCGGGGACTTTCTAGTTACATTTACAGTTCTGATGGAGAGAAAACAAATTATCAGGGAAGATTGGGCTTGGAAGAGTGACTGTCCTCGCAACAAAATCTTAACAAAGTACTGTATTTCAACCAAAGTGTTGCCCGTTGGGAAGTTTTTAAGAAGCTAAAGCAGTTTCATCCCCTCCCGCCAAAATAATTAATGGAACAACACATAATTAATTACGCTAGATATTATTTTTGGCACTCTACCCAAACGAGCCAAAATTCTCAACGCTTTAAGGAAGTCACAGTCCAGAAAATAATCATTTCCAGACTTCAAAACGTCTCAGGTCAGTTATTATAGCCATGATCAGTGAATGGTAGGAATTTGTATTGTGATGCTTTCGTGGGTGCTTTGTGTTAGGATCCATATAAATACGCTCCAATTTTCGAACCAGTCATCCGCTTGAAAACAGCAACAGCGGCGCCGGGTGCCTTCAGTTCACAGCTATTGCAGCGCTACTCTCGTCATGTTGACTACGACTTCCTGTGCTAAAGGGCGAACCTGTTGTAAAGACCGTAAGTTCCCTCTTGCACTTTGGGACTCTTTTGTTTGTCATTAACTCGGTGACAAAAAGTTAACATTTTGTGATTATGACGGAATTATTTTTCTTCTATTTCGAGCTCAATGGTTATGACCTTAATTGGGCATGTCAGGGTCGGCATTGACGATTACATTTGATGGTGGTAACATAGACTAGTTTTTATTCTCGCAATGTTTTTTGTTTGCCACGGTTTCCTTAAATATATTACAATCTTTTTATGTTATGATATTATGATCCAATATTGGAATGTTTTCTTCATTCATTGTCTCCCATTAAAAGTGACTTTCATTCGAATCGGAATTTTAATCAATACACTTTTTTGCACACCTCCTGGATTGTCCTAGATCATTTGCAACACCAGTGGTGATGTGTCAGGGTGCACACCTGTTAATAGGCCTAAACCCATCCGCCGAGCTCATGAAAAGCAGTTATACCCTCAAAATATTCTATATTAGAGAGTTCTGAGGGCCGTAAAATTGGGGAATTAAAAAAAATATGGCAATGAACCACTGGCCCAGACTTGGGACTTCCAATTCTGAGCACTTTGGATGCAATGGAGCTCGAAAGTGGCGCTATTTTTTTCATGATGTAGAGGGATCGTTTTTCAAGATGGCTACTTTTTTTCCGCTTTGGAAAAAATAGGGGTCGTCTTCTTTGGGTAAGAATTTCACGAAAAGACAGTAACGGGTCAACCCACCAAAAATTGAAAAGAAAAGAAAACTGAGATGACATTTCGATCACCATTTCTGTGTGCAGCTTAAATACATGTGAGAGTTCTGAGTATTTTTTAAAGAGTTTAGAAGTATGGGCATTTAGCACTAGTGTCTATGGGAATTTTAATACACTGTTGCACCCGTAGGGACACTCCGTATTTTCTCGTCATGTCAACACAGTTATTGTGAAATTGGGAACTACACATTGTATTGCAATGACATTTCCTGTAATATTTTGCCATGGTATTTGACACCAAACTCTAGAATCTTGACAGGAACTGCCGAAAAATGAATGTAATATAATACATCGTGAAAACTAATTGCACCAAATTTCAATTTAATCCATTTTGTATTTCTTGAGTGGTTCATCGGAAACGAGGTTGTTCATTTTGTTCAGTTGTGCAGCATCTGTGTTGATGCGTTGTTGAGACCACTATTTATGTGGCGCGCCCTCTATTATAGTGGTCTCGATCTCCACAACCAAACTCGATTTGGGGCCAACAATTCAAGAAATACACATTACATTAAACTGAATTTTCGCACACTCATTTTGCATGATGTTTGACATCAAAAGATTTAATTTCATAAAAAAACGTCCAATAATCAAGATATTATGACCGTAACACTGCTGAGTTTTCTTTGCGACAAGTACAATCCTAATGCAAGTCAACATGGATTTTAAACGTTTAAAACACTTGATTGTTACGATCATATTATATTTATAGCTCCACGGTTTCTCACGCCATTCAAACTACTCATGCTACACATCGTGAAAACTAATTGCACCAAATTTCAATTTAATCCATTTTGTATTTCTTGAGTAGTTCATCGGAAACGAGGTTGTTCTTTTTGTTCAGTTGTGCAGCATCTGTGTTGATGTGTTGTTGAGACCACTATTTATGTGGCGCGCCCTCTATTATAGTGGTCTCGATCTCCACCACCAAACTCGATTTGGGGCCAACAATTCAAGAAATACACGTTACATTAAACTGAATTTTCGCACACTCATTTGTCATGATGTTTGACATCAAAAGATTTAATTTCATCATAAAAAAAACGTCCAATAATCAAGATATTATGACCGTAACAATACAGGGTTTTAATTGCGACAAATACAATCCTAATGGAAGTCAACAAGGAATTTTAACGTTTAAAACATTAGATTGTTACGATCATATTGATTACGATCATATATTTATAGCTCCACGGTTTCGCACGCCATTCAAACTACTTATGCTACACATCGTGAAAACTAATTGCACGAATTTTCAATTCAATCCATTTTGTATTTCTTGAGTAGTTCATCGGAAACAGCTTCGTCCTTACCTATAACGTGCAATGGGCCGGGGAAACGCAATTATGCTAGGTTTTTTTAGACTGCTTGGTCCATACCTACAACGTGCAGTGAGGGAAACGCAGTTATGTCAGTCTTTTTTCTAAGCAGCTTGGTCCATACCCACAACGTGCAATGGGGAAACGCATTTATGTCAGGTTTTTCTGAACAGCTTGAACTATACCCACAACGTTATGCCAGGATTTTCTAAACAGCTAATTCGTCCATACCCAAAACGTGCAATGGGGAAATGTAGTTATGGCAGGTTTCATACCCTGCTTAGTTTGTATACCATGCCTTGAACAGGCGAAACATGACCGATTGTCTGATCATCTTGTTTCATATACACTACGTGCAATAGGGAAACTTAGTTATGGCAGGTTTTTCTAAACAGTTTTGTTCATACATACTACGTGCAATGGGGAACCACAGATATGGCAGATTCTATCATCAGCTAGGGTCGTTCGTATACATGTACACTGCGCTCACTGGCTGCAGGCCCTCAGGGGGCACGGGGGGCGGGGTCAATCCCCCTCCCCCAGCTCTGTCCAAGAAAATCGTTTCATAGAAATTCATTTCTAATAATGTGTATCCCCCCCTTCATTCTGACACGCAAAAAAATTATGTAATAATGTGCGCCTGTGCACAAAACGCGGTTAGAGCATAGAGAAAGGACACACAGCCAGCTTGGTGAGGGGGTATTTTGTACAGTATGATGTAATTACAGTGTTAGTAACTGTCATATTTGAACAGCGCCCCATTGAACTTATGATACGAGTCACCCCCCCCCCCCCCCCCTTGGTGGGTGGGTGTGACCCATCCACCCACCGGGTACCACCGGTGGGTGGGTGATTTTCGGGAGCCAGGTGTTCGGGGTGGGGGAACTGTCAACGTTTTGAGAATTGTGAGGACTTTAAACGGTACTGTATTTCAACCAAAAGGTTACCCGTTGGAAAGTTTTTAAGGAGCTAAAGCAGTTCCATCCCCTCCCGCCAAAAAAATTAATGGATCAACACATAAATAATTACGCTAGATATTATATTTGTCACTCAACCCAAACAAACCAAATTTCTCAAAGCTATAAGGAAGTCACAGGCCAGAAAATAATCATTTACAGACTTCAAAACGTCTAAGGTCAGTTATAGCCATGATCAGTGAATGGTAGGAATTTGTATTGTGATGCTCTAGTGGGTACTTTGTGCTAGGATCCATATAAATACGCTCCATTTTTCGAACCAGTCATCCACTTGACAACAGCAACAGCAGCGGTGGATGCCTTCAGTTCACAGCTATTGCAGTGCAACACTCGTCGTGTTGACTTCGACTTCCTTTGCTAAAGGGCGAACCTGTTGTACAGACCGTAAGTTCCTTCTTGCACTTTGGGACTCTTTCGTTTGTCATGAATTCGGTGACATAAAAAAGTTAACATTTTGTGATGATGACTGGGAATTATTTTTCTTCTACTTCGAGCTCAATGGTTGTGACCTTAATTGGACATGTCAGGGTCGGACGCAATGTTTTTTTAATTGCCATGGTTTCCGTAAATTTGTAACAATCTTTTTATGTTATGATATTTTGATCAAATATTGGAATGTGTTTTCTTCATTCATTGTCTCCAATTAAAATTGACTTTCATTCGAATCGGAATTTTAATTAATACACTTTTTTGCACACCTCCTGGATTGTCCTAGATCATTAGCAACTACACCAGAGGTGATTCTGCATTCCTCCAGAAGCTTCAAATCAGCACGGGCTTCAGCTTCGTTTCCAGCGCTGCATGGACATTTGGGGACGCCAAGTCAACTGTAGCATTTGGTTTGTTTTTCACGTTTGTTTCGGGTATACTCTTTTTCATTGTTTGATGATTTCTCATGAAATTCAATTTCATAATGTAACATATTCATCATGACAAATCAATGAATATTCAATTTTGAAATACAGAACAAACTCGTTTTGGGGGCAACAACTCAAGAAATACACGGTTCATTAAAATGAATTTTCGTGCACTCATTTTTCATGATGTTTGACATGAACAGATTTAAATTCATAAGAAAAGGTCAAACAATCAAGTTATTATGACCGTAACAATACAGGGTTTTAATTGCGACAAATACAATCCTAATGGAAGTCAACGTGGATTTCTAGCGTTTCAAACACTAGATTGTTACGATCATATTATATTTATAGCTCCACTGTTTCTCACTCCATTCAAACTACTTCTCCTACACATCGTGAAAACTAATTGCACGAAATTTCAATTATTAATCCATTTCGTATTTCTTGAGTAGTTCATCGGAAACGAGATTCTTCTTTTTGTTCAATTTTGCAGCATCCGTGTTGATGCGTTGTTGAGACCACTATTTATGTGGCGCGCCCTCTATTGAAGGAAAATTTAAAAAATTCTACGGCGTGCGGATGAATGTCTTGGCGGTGCGAGACCACTAGTTTTATTCAGCGCGCCCTTTCTCGAATTAATTTTTTTAGTGGTTTGACGGTTTCTCACGAAATTTTATATCCTCGTGTAAGACATCAAGACCGAATCACTTGCTGAACTTACAACTTAATATAGCTTGACCTGGTGAGCTCGCCGGTTATTGTTCAAACAAAAAGTGTATTATTATTTTTCCATAGACGTTGACTTTTCATTTTTCATTTGGTTAGTATTTTTCACGTTTAAGCACCTCTCGCTCAACTAACGACTGATCTTTTTCATTGTTTTGTGGTTTCTCATGAAATTAAATCTCATAATCTAACACAGTCATCATGACAAATCACTGAATATTCAATTTTGAAATACAGAACAAACTCGTTTTGGGGGCAAAAACTCAAGAAATACACGTTATATTAAAATGAATTTTTGTGCACTCATTTGTCATTATGTTTGACATGAACAGATTTAATTTCAGAAGAAAGGGTCAAACAATCAAGCTATTATGACCGTAACAATACAGGGTTTCATTCTCGACAAATACAATCCTAATGGAAGTCAACGTGGATTTTTAGCGTTTCAAACACTAGATTGTTACGATCATATTATATTTATAGCCCCACGGTTTCTCACGCCATTCAAACGACTTCTGCTACACATCGTGAAAACTAATTGCACGAAATTTCAATTGAATCCTTTTCGTATTTCTTGAGTAGTTCATCGGAAACGAGATTCTTCTTTTTGTTCAATTTTGCAGCATCCGTGTTGATGCGTTGTTGAGACCACTATTTATGTGGCGCGCCCTCTATTGAAGGAAAATTTAAAAAATTCTACGGCGTGCGGATGAATGTCTTGGCGGTGCGAGACCACTAGTTTTATTCAGCGCGCCCTTTCTCGAATTAATTTTTTTAGTGGTTTGACGGTTTCTCACGAAATTTTATATCCTCGTGTAAGACATCAAGACCGAATCACTTGCTGAACTTACAACTTAATATAGCTTGACCTGGTGAGCTCGCCGGTTATTGTTCAAACAAAAAGTGTATTATTATTTTTCCATAGACGTTGACTTTTCATTTTTCATTTGGTTAGTATTTTTCACGTTTAAGCACCTCTCGCTCAACTAACGACTGATCTTTTTCATTGTTTTGTGGTTTCTCATGAAATTAAATCTCATAATCTAACACAGTCATCATGACAAATCACTGAATATTCAATTTTGAAATACAGAACAAACTCGTTTTGGGGGCAAAAACTCAAGAAATACACGTTATATTAAAATGAATTTTTGTGCACTCATTTGTCATTATGTTTGACATGAACAGATTTAATTTCAGAAGAAAGGGTCAAACAATCAAGCTATTATGACCGTAACAATACAGGGTTTCATTCTCGACAAATACAATCCTAATGGAAGTCAACGTGGATTTTTAGCGTTTCAAACACTAGATTGTTACGATCATATTATATTTATAGCCCCACGGTTTCTCACGCCATTCAAACGACTTCTGCTACACATCGTGAAAACTAATTGCACGAAATTTCAATTGAATCCTTTTCGTATTTCTTGAGTAGTTCATCGGAAACGAGTTTGTTCTTTTTTGTTCAATTTTGCAGCATCCGTGTTGATGCGTTGTTGAGACCACTATTTATGTGGCGCGCCCTCTATTGAAGGAAAATTTAAAAAAATTCTACGGCGTGCGGATGAATGTCTTGGCGGTGCGAGACCACTAGTTTTATTCAGCGCACCCCTTCTCGAATTAATTTTTGTAGTGGTTTGACTGTTTCTCACGAAATTGTATCTCCTCGTGTAAGACATCGAGACCGATCACTTGCTGAACTTACAACTTAATATAGCTTGACCTGGTGAGCTCGGGTTATTGCTCAAAAAACGAGTGTATTATTATTTTTCCATGGACGTTGACTTTTCATTTTTCATTTGGTTAGTACTGTTCCCGTTTAAAATACTGTATTTGTTTCGGGTATACTCTTTTTCATTGTTTGATGGTTTCTCATGGAATTAAATCTCATAATGTAACACAGTCATCATGACAAATCACTGAATATTCAATTTTGAAATACAGAACAAACTCGTTTTGGGGGCAAAAACTCAAGAAATACACGTTGTATTAAAATGAATTTTTGTGCACTCATTTGTCATTATGTTTGACATGAACAGATTTAATTTCAGAAGAAAAGGTCAAACAATCAAGCTATTATGACCGTAACAATACATGGTTTCAACCTCGACAAATACAATCCTAATGGAAGTCAACGTGGATTTTTAGCTTTTCAAACACTAGATTGTTACGATCATATTATATTAAGAGCTATACGGTTTCTCACGCCATTCAAACGACTTCTGCTACACATCGTGAAAACTAATTGCACGAAATTTCAATTGAATCCTTTTCGTATTTCTTGAGTAGTTCATCGGAAACGAGTTTGTTCTTTTTTTGTTCAATTTTGCAGCATCCGTGTTGATGCGTTGTTGAGACCACTATTTATGTGGCGCGCCCTCTATTGAAGGAAAATTTAAAAAAATTCTACGGCGTGCGGATGAATGTCTTGGCGGTGCGAGACCACTAGTTTTATTCAGCGCGCCCCTTCTCGAATTAATTTTTGTAGTGGTTTGACTGTTTCTCACGAAATTTTATCTCCTCGTGTAAGACATCAAGACCGATCACTTGCTGAACTTACAACTTAATATAGCTTGACCTGGTGAGCTCGGGTTATTGCTCAAACAACGAGTGTATTATTATTTTTCCATGGACGTTGACTTTTCATTTTTCATTTGGTTAATATATTTCACGTTTAAAATACTGTATTTGTTTCGGGTATACTCTTTTTCATTGTTTGATGGTTTCTCATGAAATTCAATTTCATAATGTAACATATTCATCATGACAAATCAATGAATATTCAATTTTGAAATACAGAACAAACTCGTTTTGGGGGCAACAACTCAAGAAATACACGGTTCATTAAAATGAATTTTCGTGCACTCATTTTTCATGATGTTTGACATGAACAGATTTAAATTCATAAGAAAAGGTCAAACAATCAAGTTATTATGACCGTAACAATACAGGGTTTTAATTGCGACAAATACAATCCTAATGGAAGTCAACGTGGATTTCTAGCGTTTCAAACACTAGATTGTTACGATCATATTATATTTATAGCTCCACTGTTTCTCACTCCATTCAAACTACTTCTCCTACACATCGTGAAAACTAATTGCACGAAATTTCAATTATTAATCCATTTCGTATTTCTTGAGTAGTTCATCGGAAACGAGATTCTTCTTTTTGTTCAATTTTGCAGCATCCGTGTTGATGCGTTGTTGAGACCACTATTTATGTGGCGCGCCCTCTATTGAAAGAAAATTTAAAAAATTCTACGGCGTGCGGATGAATGTCTTGGCGGTGCGAGACCACTAGTTTCATTCAGCGCGCCCTTTCTCGAATTAATTTTTTTAGTGGTTTGACGGTTTCTCACGAAATTTTATATCCTCGTGTAAGACATCAAGACCGAATCACTTGCTGAACTTACAACTTAATATAGCTTGACCTGGTGAGCTCGCCGGTTATTGTTCAAACAAAAAGTGTATTATTATTTTTCCATAGACGTTGACTTTTCATTTTTCATTTGGTTAGTATTTTTCACGTTTTAGCACCTCTCGCTCAACTAACGACTGATCTTTTTCATTGTTTTGTGGTTTCTCATGAAATTAAATCTCATAATCTAACACAGTCATCATGACAAATCACTGAATATTCAATTTTGAAATACAGAACAAACTCGTTTTGGGGGCAAAAACTCAAGAAATACACGTTATATTAAAATGAATTTTTGTGCACTCATTTGTCATTATGTTTGACATGAACAGATTTAATTTCAGAAGAAAGGGTCAAACAATCAAGCTATTATGACCGTAACAATACAGGGTTTCATTCTCGACAAATACAATCCTAATGGAAGTCAACGTGGATTTTTAGCGTTTCAAACACTAGATTGTTACGATCATATTATATTTATAGCCCCACGGTTTCTCACGCCATTCAAACGACTTCTGCTACACATCGTGAAAACTAATTGCACGAAATTTCAATTGAATCCTTTTCGTATTTCTTGAGTAGTTCATCGGAAACGAGTTTGTTCTTTTTTGTTCAATTTTGCAGCATCCGTGTTGATGCGTTGTTGAGACCACTATTTATGTGGCGCGCCCTCTATTGAAGGAAAATTTAAAAAAAATTCTACGGCGTGCGGATGAATGTCTTGGCGGTGCGAGACCACTAGTTTTATTCAGCGCACCCCTTCTCGAATTAATTTTTGTAGTGGTTTGACTGTTTCTCACGAAATTGTATCTCCTCGTGTAAGA